CTAATCGTAAATTTTCGTAAGTTTACGCTCGCGTAAAAACTTGCGGAGGTTTACGCCTATTTATTTTTGCTGATGAACGTTGCAGTTGTTATAAATTTTTTTCTTAAACCTGGCATGAGTTATAATAGTGTATTTTTTCTTGTTTTGTTTTTTTTACTTTGTTTCCCCTGTGCTATTTCTTTATAGAGGTAGTTTCCCCTTTTGTCAGCCCTCAGGCTTTTCTCTTTGTGTTTCTTTTTTTTACATCTTATTGTACCCTCTTTTCTTTTCTTTAAAAACACCCCTTCATTCTATTTGTTTTTTTAGTTAGTTTTTTTATTTTGTTTTCTTGGTATTATTGGTGGTTTTGTATAAGATCATCACTTTCTTTTGCTCTCAGTAAAGAAAGAAGATATGAAGAAAAAAGCTTTGATGGGCTGACAAAGATTATCTAACTTGTATACAGGTTGGTGTGACAAGTCGCAGTTAGGCATGTTTATTGCAGCTGGATGATGTCAGGTTCACAATTGCAAGACTCCCTGTTTTTTGGTTATGAATAATATTTGTATTGTTCGAGAAAGCTTAGCTTTCATCTGAAATATAGTCTCAATAAATTGAGCACTGGCAAGACTGTCAAAAACTTAAAAAAAAAAAAAAAAAAAAAAAAAAAAATTCTTTTAGCTCTAAGTAGTTATAAAATTAATTCTAAAGAAACTCTTTCCGGTTTAATACCGAAATTTATAGAAAAATAAAAATTTGTAAACAAAACTCAACAGTTCTCTTCCAAAACTCACAAAAGGAAAGGGCCTCCCGGCCTAATAAACATAAGCTATTCTTATTGGATATGGGCAAACAACCAAAAAGTAAAAAGGCCAGACTTTCAACCAAGGCAGAAACTGTAAACAAAGACAAAATTTTCCGCTTGGTAGAAAATAAAGAAAACAATGCATCTACTATCCTATTAAGTTCCAGCCAAAAAACAGACACCAAGGATTTAAAAAAACCTGAATACAACTAGCTAGGCAGCCCAAACTGAGGAAGAGATAAAAAATCAAGAAGCAAATGATATTGATAAGAGACCCAGAAAAGAACACCAACTCAATGCACAACAAACACAAGTAACCACAGAAAATCACGTGAACCAAAAAAATGTGACCCAAGGATATAACAAAGAATATGCAAGTCACATGACAAATATCCAAGTAGACGAATCTGTAGGCCAAACAAATGACAAGCAAGATAAAACTCTGCCAGACCCAGCTCAACATTACACAAACATCTCTAAACTTAATGGTAGAGAAGGCAAACAGAGGCAGTGGTCAAACCTCTTTTCAAAGCTTAAAGAAGGAAAGGCAAACTTCATAAACCAAACAACTAGAAGCAGAATTCTCTCAAAGAATAAAAACATATTAATTATCAATATATATAACCTTTTCAACATCTCAACCAATGACATAATCGCAACTTTGTTACTTAAACTTAACAGAGATCTTGTGGTAGCAAAAAGCTACTCATTTGGAAAAAAAGAACATTCTTGGAATTAGTCTTTAAAAGCAAGAAAAAAGTGCAGAAATATGCTTCTGAAGGAATCTCTTTATTCCAACAAACTTTTTTTGGTTACATCCCGATAAATCTTAAATGCTCATTTCTTACTATAAAGCTCTAGAACACACCTTTGGGCAAGATAGAACACACTACAAACTTTATTCTTGAAGCCTTCCAAGATGTTGGCCAAATTGCCACAATAAAGCCACTCTTGTTCGAAGGAACCAAAATTTGTACAGACTAGTGGCTTGTCACCTTTGAAATATCAGATGATCCAGATTTACAATCTAAAATTCCAAGAAGCACACAGGTGGGTAATCACAAAGTAACAACAGAATGGAAAGAAGCTTCCAAAGTGTGCTACTACTGCGAAAGGGAAGGCTATATTAAAAAAGATTGTAGTAAATTCAAAGCTTCGGTAAAAGCCAGACAGCTATTGAGAGAAGCTAAACTTCAAAAAAAGGAATTAACAGCTCACAAAACACCCACCTCAGAATTAGAGTTTAGCCCAGACAATCTCTACACTAAAAAAACACTAGATACAAAAGAAGAAGATATATCCAAAAGTTAGAATATAAACAAAACAAATGTAGCCTTACAAAGCATGAAAATCGTTTCACCAGTTAAAGAATCAGACACACCCATGCCAGATGCTTTATCAACAGAACTGTCATTAAGGCATGAAGGGCCAAGTGTTATAGATGACAAAGAACAGGAAACACCTTTTATAGTTGTGTCTCACAAAAAACCCAAAAACAAGAACAAGGAAAAAAGCACTAAGGGCGATGAAAATCCTCTTCATCCAGAACAAAATCAAAAGGCCTTAGGAGACACCTGTTAGGATATGCCCAAGCCCAAAGCTCAATACTAGAAACTCCTCCCTCTTAGTGTAGCCACAAACACTTACCTTCTCTCATATTTAAAATTGCTACACTCAATATAAAAGGCCTGAACAACAGACTTAGGGCTTAAAAAACACTTATGCTTCTAAAAATATACAATCTGGATATTATTCTAATTCAAGAAACCAATCTTAAAGATACCTCTACAAGAAACTTTTTGGCACAACAATGGAGCTTTAGCTCAGTATGGTTCTTAAAAACTGCGATATTAGCAGGTAAAAGAAATATAGACCTTACGAAAATTAAAGAATCTCAGGATGGCCGCATTCTATTGGTCTCTACAGTAATCAAACAGCAATCATTATATATCACAAATATTTATACCCCTCCCACACATGAGGATAGGCTCCAGTTTTTCAATAACTGGACTCCAGCTGCAGTGGAGAACAAAATATGCATCATAGCTGGAAATTTCAATACAAACCTGAACTCCCAAAATGATAGAATCAGCAATGCTCTACAACAATCTGACCACTCAAGAGAAAGAGTGCAATCTCTCTTAGCTAATTATATAGACATAGCATTATCCTCTAATAAGAATCTCTTTCTCACATTCTACCAATCAATCCAAAATGGGCAAAAGATGGCAACACGATTAGACTACATATTTATTGAGGCAAACTATAGCCATCTGTGCAAAAACACACTTACCTGGTTTGGAAATTCAGATCATTTCCTAGTAGAAACAGAATTCAGCCTAAAATCACTACATTTCTAACAGTTCTAGTGGAGATTCAACAGAAGATACTGGAATATATCAGAACTAAAAGCAAACATCATAGAGAAACTTCTCAACATACAGAGCACTTCTAATTGGGACCTATACAAATGCACAATACAATTATTAGCAAAAGCATACAAGTCAAAATCACTACCAGAAAAAAAGATCCAGAAAATCCATAAAAGACTTTGTGCCCTGAATAACAAAATAGCCTGAAATCCTAACCTAACAGACCTTAAACTAGTAACAGAAGACCTTAGTCTTGAATTACAAAATGAGCTAACCCTTCTCTCAGAAAGATAACGAATCAGGTCCAACGTCAAATGGATTAAAAAAGGAGAAAAATTGACAAAGTACTTCTTTGCTCTATACAAGAAAAAACACTCTTCCACATACTGTTCAAAAATACAGGATCTGAACATTTTGAGCAATAACTCACATACACAAACTCTTAAGTTTATTAAAGACTTTTACCAAAAAATATATAAAAGTGAGGAGATAGACAAGGAGGCAGTTCTTCAACTTATAAAGAACTTGGAACAGGTTTTTGCAGAACAAAACTCTATGTTAATTGAACCTATTACAGTGGAGGAAGTTAATTAGACAATCAACAAATTTCCAAATAATAAAGCACCAGGCTCTGACGGCATCACATACAAATTCTATAAAGACACACAGGAGTTTGTCACGCCTATATTAGTAAAAATATTCAATGAAGTACTTGACACAGGCATGATCTCAAGATCATGGACCAAAAGTTTGATTACCCTAATATCAAAAAAGAATACTAATTTAGAAAGTATAAACAATTGGAGACCAATTTTGCTTGTTAATGCAGATGTAAAAATTTTCATGAAAATTCTAGCAAACCGTATTAATTCAATCTGCGACAACATAATAGATCCTGCACAACAGGCTTTTATTGCTAAAAGGTCTATTATAGACTCAGCTCTAAACACAATAACGACTCTCAGAAATCAGGAAGACTAGTCAAAACAACATTAGCTCCTTTTACTTAACCAACTAAAAGCCTTTGACAAGATAAATCACAACTTTATACAAATTGTCCTTGAGAAGATAAACTTTGATTACAAGTTCATCAGAATTATAAGTGCCCTGTTCTCTGATCAGACAGCATATATAGTTGATGCAGGCCAGATCTCAGAACCAATAAAAGTCGAGAGAGGAGTAAGGTAGGGAGATCCGCTCTCTTCTCTCCTCTATTGTTTAGCTATCAATCCACTAATACAAAACATCTCCCAGAACATCAATAGCATCCTGGGTAATGGCAGCAACTTTAAAATTGCCGCATATGCAGATGACCTTTCAGTCAGGATTGGCTCCTCCACAGACTGGATAACCCTATTGAAAATGCTAAACATTTATGAAAAAGCCTCAAACGCAGTTATCAATAAGACTAAATCAACCCTTATTCTAATTACAAGCAATGTTAGCAGAGTAAAGCTCCCAAAGCAACATAACTTTAAGGCTCTAGTTGATGATCAAGAGCACTTCACAATTCTGGGTTTTTGCATAGACATTAAGAAAAACCTTTGCAACTCTCTTTAGCAAAAGATGACGAAAAAAATCAAAAAGAAAATAGAAGAACTCTCTAAGAGGAACCTTTCATTTAAAGGAAAAATTCTTGCAGCAAAAACACTTTTGATCTCAAAAATATAGTACCTTGCATACCTTCTTCCACCATCAAAAAAACAACTCAAGGAAATAGACTCCCTTATTGGAAAATAGATCAAAAATAACTCACATATGCTTTTTCAATACTCGATATTCCAACTTGGATACGAGAAAGGCGGTCTGAATGCCCCAATTCTCAAAGACATGCTTGATGCCAG